AGGGTATAAAATCCCTGACCGGGAGACTGGCTCACATAGGTCCGGTTAGGCTCCCTGGCTGGGGACCCAGAGACCATATTCTCCGATGGTTAGAGACACTGAGCGATATGGCTGGGTGTCGCAAACAGTGGCGCTCATATATCTACTCATTATTCTTGTAACTTCAGTCTGTGTAAATGCGTTATCTTACGTTTGAGTCTGCTCTTAACATTCTGCTGTTTTATCCAAATGGGCAGCCAAAAGACAGCAACTAAAACCGGCGCACGAATGTGCATGAATAATGGTTGTAAGAACTGAACTGATACCTGGTTTTGCAAGTTTTCGACAAGACAGAGAAAGAAGCAAAAAGAANAATAACCTACATTAACTCCAGTTGGTGCGGGAAGTCCGAAACGCTGTTTGCTTTCTCCTCTTGTGGTATTGACTAACTGTTTCATGTCAACCTAGGTTTTCCCCTTATCGGAGCACACTTATTACCGATCTATACATTGCCCCTTCTTGCTCATAAATTGAAATTAGCTCTTTCTACGATGCATTTATTCCTTTCATTTTTCCCCTAGTTGATGATAAGTTAATTTTAATTGTTGGTGATTTTAATCACGGATCAACCCAACCTGTACTTTCTTTCGGTCTATTAGATCTCTCTCTAACACCCACCAGTGGAGATGCTGTATTGGACAAGGTTAATGCTAGTCACTTTCATATTTTCTCTCTCAAACTGAAGACGCCAATCTCGACTAGTGACCACTATCTCCTATATCTTAGACCAAAAGTTTACTCTCGGTTAGCATACACCACTTTTATTCAAGCAAAAAAAAAAGGAATGTAAAAAATCGGAATCTTTCAGCCGACAGATTACATCTCCTGAGGAAATCTCTTGCCATCATCTCCTTGTGGTTTTCCGTTCAACAATCTACCTGTTCTGTTGAACATTTACAGAAACAGATAATATGATTTTCAATTTATGCTGTCCTATGGAAACAGTTTTTGTTCACATTGGCAGAGTATGCTTTCCGCAGTTAAAAGCTCTTAGAAGACAAAAAACAGTGTTCAAGGTATATCAAACAGCTTACACTGGAAATCAGAGTAGAGATCAAAAGGCTGAATGCTTCATTCGAAAAGTAAGTTCTGGAAGCTGGAGATGGAAGACGGTTATCGAAGGCATGAGATTGCTTTGCGGACAGAAGAAACGAACAAACAGAATTATTGACGTGGACAGCCTTAATGCTGCAATCATTTATCCTTCGAATTATCTCCTGTCTCCGTACCCCACAGATCGCCTATCTACCATAGACCCAGTCACCCAAGAGGAGATCTACCATCTTCCTAAAACTACGAAAATCACGAACGCAGTTGGTCTCTCTTCATCAGTGCTCAAATATAGCGCCGGTCCCGTCCCTTATTGATCAATCCATTTACACATGTTCGATTTCGGATTCCTGGAGACAGTTCATCATCGTTCCTATTCCTAAACCCTCTTCATTTAACATTTTATCTAAACGCTTTCGTCCTATCGCCATCACCTCCTCTGGACTTAAGCTTGCAGAGCGCGCTATTCTCACTCGCTTGAAATCTGATATTATTGTTCCCAATGACCCTCTCCAGTTTGCGTACAAGCCAAATAGATGCACCTTAGATGCCGTCTCTGCACTGATTCACTTTATCTGCAAATCA